AAAGGAAAAAGAAATAGAATAAATAAAGTAGTAGTAGAAGAAGAATTGTGTCTCAGTCAGTGAGTGCCTATGTGCTCTTGCAAACATCAGAAGCGAAACCTTTTGGCAGAGCAAAGCAAGCTCCCTGGGGTCGATATTTAATCCTGAAAAAGCAAAAAATGCCCCCAGACTCAAACACCACCAACTAACAAAGAAGCTGAAAAAACACGGTCTAGTATAAGTAAGTTGCACAATGAAGAACACATCAATTTTCCAAAAATTTTAGGAAACAGTCACTTAAACTTTAGGACTGTCACAATCAATTGTAATGAGCATGTTCAATTGTATCAGATAAATAGTATTAAACAAAATTAGTTTCCGGAAGCCCGGTGATGTCCATATGGACAAAAAAAAAAAAAAAGGGTATACAAGGAAAATAAATGTAAGTGGACAAAATAAATAAATAATTGAAGAAAAGAGTTAGCACCATGAGCAGCAGCAACTGCAGACATGGTGGCAACTTCCACAGATGCTGAAGACGATACACCTTTACCTTCTGGAACAGCTGATGAAACCTGCAGATTCACCCGCATTATTAATTTCGACTAATCAATTCATGATTTGAAATGGTGTAGTTAAATGGAAGAAGCATCGCCAAGAAAATATATAAAATGCTTTCAGATTAAATTCATGTGATGCTACCACCCAATAATAGATTTTGATCAAATTATTCATCAAGCATGAAATCGACTGAAGAAAGACATTAAATCTTCAGTGGAAATTGTCTCAGGGATAATAAAGAAAGTACTAAAAATAAATACTTCGTTAAAAAGTATGGTGCTGGACTATTGTGCCTACAGCAATGATAACTTCTGCCTGGTTTGGCCCATTAGGATATCCAAAAGGCAATGACATAGATCGTTCTTGGTGATAGCAAACAAAAGAGCTTATCTGTTACGTAAATTTATATTCTATAACAAGTTACAATAGGGAAGGAAACAAAATAGAACTTATGATATTCTCAATTAATAAAGATAATGACTCGTACCAGCATGCTAATGCTATTCTCAAAGCGAATTCCAAGTTCTTTCATCAGGACCAAAATGGTCCCAGCAATATATGCCGCCCATCTAGAAAAAGAACCTAGTTAGTACACTTTATTAGAAGTCATTTAAAACCAGATAACAACATAAAATATAATTTAAAACCTTTGGGATGGATCCCGGGCAAAATAACATCTGGCCTGTTCATACGACATTGGCTGATCCCCATCCATGAAATCTGACAGATCCATGTCAAAAGTTGGCCCACGATTGCTCAATTCAGATCCATAAGATACCTTAATGAAGCAGATTACGCAATGAAACCGCAATACTAAGAAATTTCAAGAAATTCCAAGAAAAGGTCAAAGATAATTATCCACAAAGATTTGCCATGAAATTCAGTTTTAGAAAACTAAAATTCAAGGACACCGATTGGAGATCTGACTCTCGATAATTTTTCCTGTGACACATTTTAGGCTTTTCTGCTACTAACTGAATAACTAAGCCATCAGATATCGGAACATTCAAAAAAGAAAAAAAAAAAAAAAAAAAGGGAAATTGATTTTGAAGGATGTTTCCACATACAATTTGTAGAACTGGAGTTAGTCCTTTCCCTTTCGCATTCTGTCGAGCCTGAGCATGTTTCCAAAGCCTCTGTTTAGTTGGATGGATAATTTGCACGGCAACGTGACAAGCTTCTCTGGTGGGCATCTGTAGATATTTTATAGTGACATAAACATCAAATCAATGAGTCAGTGCATTTTCTAGTAAAATACTAATGGTCTTTTCATCATATTCACAAATCTTATTTTGAACTTTTGAACCTTTGAATAATAATAAATGCTAGTTACCAAAAAGGAAAATCACGAACAGTTTTAACAGACCTGTCCTACAGTATTATCTCTGATATTAGACTAAGAGAACTTTGCTTAGTTTACATCTTTCTATATGTGTGTGTGTGGGTGTGTGTATACATATGTGTGTGTGTGTGTATATAAATTTTCTTTTCTTTCCCCTTTTCTTTTGCATAACGAATTAAAATACCTGCAGAACAAGGCTTCCGGAGTAGTCAGCGATTCCACCCATGACATCTAATCTTCCAGGTGCTCTTGCCACATAAATGTCTTCCTACACTCCATTGTTATATTTAAACATATTAAATCTGACATTAGAACTCATGAAAGAATTCAAGAGTCCGTTAAATGAACCAAAGTGGTGTCACTGTCATGTAAAGAACAAATTAAGTTAGCTTGAATAAAAATGAGAATTACTTGAACTGAATATTATACAACACACCCTGTTCCTGAGACATACAATGCATTTAATTTAACCAGTCATGCTTGCTGAATGTTTTAATTAAAACACAATAAGCGAGATGGATGAAGGAGAAAAATGAAAATATAACGCATAATTCAGAGGGTACAGTGCAACATGAAATATCACTAGTGAGTTGTCACACATTAATTTTGTAGCGCAAATGAGCCTATAAGTGAAATCATCACCAGTATTCACTATATGAATCATCACCAGTACCAATAACTGAATCTAAAGAAAAAATGTGAACATGCATTTATCAAGTCGAACAGAATCAAAATATACCTCCCAGTTGAAGAGGCCAGCAGCAGCTTTTCTCTCTCGCCTCTGGTTCTTCTCGGGACTCTTTACAGAATCAAGGGCAGCATCAAGTTCTGATAGGCTCTTCAAGAAACTCATGGTATCAGAAAGACCCATGACATCTCCATGAAGAATCTCAAAATCCTCAGGACTAGAAAAGAGAGAGAGAGAGAGAGAGTCAATTGATAGAGTAATAAAGGTGTTTGGGCCCTTTGGGAATGAGAATTTACTCACATAGGCATGCGAAAACTATCATCGTTCATCTCGGCCGTAGGAGATCCTGTACGGAGGCCAAGTTCATTTTCAGCATTTGCATACCAATCTGGAATGCTTAGATCTCTTCCCGGGACCCGTTGCAACTGATAACCTAGAACAATAGCATCTCGCAATCTTCTAGAGCCACTAAGCTAGAACATGAGCAAGAATAAACGGTCTAGTTAGGAGGCAATTCAAAGTTCAAACAGTAAAGTAGCTCTCATGGAACATGTATCATTTTGCTGTAAAAGCGAGATTCTGGTAGTGTTTCAAACTTTTTAACTGTAATTGCCAGAAAATATGAAATTGGTCTCAACCTTGTCTGACGTATAATTTTTTCCAGATGCCGTGTCTTGCAAAATACGAGCAGCGACCTGGAGTTTACATGGAATCAGAACCATAACAATCTTCATATAATTCCAAAATAGTGGCAAAGCAACAAGGCTACAACCCTTTAAAAACGTGCATCAAAGATCACAATTTTTATTAAAAGCGTGCATCAAAGATCACAATCGTTATTAAAAGCATGCACTGAAATCCGTGTTAAAGAAAAAGAAAAGAATAAGACAGACAAACTTTTGAACTTCTTTCCATGGTGGAATCACAAGCATGTAATCATCAGAAAATTTCCATTTAACCGAGTAAAAGATATAATGCATCTCCAAAAATAAATTTATTGAAATGAACTTCATTAAAAGAAAGACGATGAGGAAATCCACCAGTGGAGCATTTAAGTTTACTAGTGCAGGAGAGAATCCTGTTTCTGTGTGTGAGCTAGAACTTACCAAAAAAAAAAGAAATAAATAAAAAGAAAAGATACATGATCTATAATAAGTGAAAAAAACTAGTAGAGTCAGAGTCTTGTTAAAACTGCTTATTTTTATTTTAGTACCACTACGACATTATTCCCTAGAACTACTTCCGATGCATATACTTAAGAACATATATACATATAATATATGTACATATACATATGCATAACTTTTGGAAAGGATTCTGAGACACAGAAAAGAGACGTGTTTACCTCACCACCATTAATGCCTCCCTCATAACACGGTTTTAAGCTAACTGCACGTTCGAGGTACGGACGCCAGTGGCCGGTCAGTAAATCCCTCCTTATCATCTCAACACCAGCTTGATAAAACTGAAAAGCAAATATGTTTTCAACAGATATACTGATTCCTTTTTTTTTTCTTGTTCAGCAGATTATCATATTAAGCTTCAGCCCTAGTTCAGCAAAATATTACTTGCATTCCAAAACCATAACCAATTTTACCTCAAGCATATTTCTCAAGAAAGGTTCTTCATTGAAGTAGTCCCTTCGCACAAAGACAAACGGTATCTTAAATGCCAATGCCTCACTAACCGTCCCGTATCCAATTTTTCCTGGAAATTTGAACGAATTTACAGTCTTTTTGAGTGGTTTCACTCTGAGCAAAAACACGGCGTAGAGAAATTATATTACTGACCAAGCATACAGTCAGATGCCGCTATCACATCAGGAGTGTATGTATCTTTAGCTAGCTTCACGAAATTTGGAGGAAGGTCGAGACTTTCAGAAGCACCACAAACCTAGAAAAATAATCGAAAGAGAATTTTCTTTTACCAGTTGTACGGGAGTCCAGTTAATATTAAGCGGTCCCATAAAACATGAAATGATAATCTGATAATGATGTACCAGACAAAGCCAACCATGAGGCAGGTACTCCTCCTTTAAAGTCCAACCCGATGGCTGCAATTAATGGCAATATTATATTTGTTCAAGCAAAAGCAATTGACCTCAACTTAGGAATCGTTACATAGATTACCTGTCCACCAAAGTTGAGAATAACAATCTTTACATCCTCTGGAATTCCAAGTTCTTTCCTCACCTAGAATGATGCAAATAAAATGAGGTATATATATGTAATAAGTGGTGCATTAAATAATACTATGTCATCAATGAGTTTAAAGGGAATTTCTTTGGTGTACCTCCTCACGCGACTTGTGCAATCTCCTCACAACCAAAGGTACATCAATTGCATCACGGAAAGCCGGCACTGTAGTAACACAAAATGTATTAGGGATAGTGAAGGCAAAGTAGAAATTGTCCAACACCTAAAATGACAAACATATAAAAGGATTTGGGATGTTGTTGTACTTGGACAATATCCTGGGAGGCGGATTAGAAATTCACAGTGCGAATAGTCCTCAGCAATCTGCATCCGCAAAACATTACTTTAATGCACAAATAAGAAACAGTTGGAATTCTAAAATGTTCCCCATGTACAAAAAAAAAAATACATAGATAGAAGTTAATACATAGAAGTTAATACGTAAACAATAGTTCAACAGTTCAATGATGACTGATACAGCTTAAACCCTACAACAATAAACTAAATTTAGATGCAGACACATAAGATAGCAGAAACACCAACAAAATTTATTATGTTTTGGTGAAGAAGGTTGACTGCAGCTGCACGCACGTGCAGTCTCATGTACCATGGTTAAAGATTGAAAAATGATTTTTTCCACCACAACTTCAGAAAGGATGAAGGATAAACATATTAATTGAATTATATACTAAAACTTTACCATTTCCCAACTAAAGCTACTAAGATTAATATAAACAGCTTTACTGAGGTCACCTGCCAAACTATGGACCGATGATGATGACCAGCAGCCATAACATATTCAGCATAGATAAAGTCCCAACTGGCAATGCAACAAAATTAGTAAAGATGAAGAAAAACTTGACAGACGACTGTAAAACTGGTCACACACATGTGTGCAAGAGTTATAAACACATCACCTAAAATTGGTAACACAAACAGAGCGGATCCCAGCATCAGCTGCTGCTCTACAAGCAACTGGAACAACATCTGATACCTGTACTTCAGCATCTTTGAAATAAATGTTAGATAAAAAAAATGCAAATACCATACAAAATGTATTTGAAGTAAAATCCAAAATATGCATCCATTGTGATCATTCTAATGTCTGATAATCAGAAAATATAATAAATAGAATTGGATCTAGAAACAGCCCGCATAGCATAAGTTTTTACCACTAAGTCTGCCTTGATGGATTTCAACCACTCTACTTCTGTCGCCAAGATAGTATCACGAGGTACTACAGCAGTCTCCGAGTACTAAACAAAACAGTAAACCATACAGTCACAAATCAAGAAAGTAAAGGCGCATGCTCCAAATTTATTATGCAAAAGTAATTTTCTTCTCATGTTGATAACAAGGTACACCTTCTCCAAAGAAGCAAGCCGGTCAACTGTCAAGGCATCTGCTTGAACTGCTCCACAGTCTAACAGCACCTACATTTCCGGATAGTTTCACTTTCAAGGTAGAATAATACAATTTTAAAGCATTTTTCTTGAAATAAGATTTCTTTTTATCATGACCTTGCGGAGGAAAAGGCGAGGGGACTGTATTTCAGTTGTGAAAACATAATCCGGTGCACCAGTAACCACATGAACATCATGGCCAGCAAGAATAAGATGCCGGGTAACCTAAGAAACAGAAAAAATGAGCTAAAATAGAACACCACATATTGCAGAAAAGCCAAAAGCAATTTCAGGCTTCAGCACATGTATTGAAGCAACATGCAGCCATTTCAACTAAACACTGATCCTTAAACTTTATCTCGGAAGCCATGTTTCCCAAATATTAGTTTGATAACTGATCAAGAGCAGCTCAAATAGTACAGAAACAGAAAAACTTCAAACAAAGAGAGTGATAAATTTACTGCACAAACGGTAGGTCCATCAAGAACCGTGAAACAAAAATCAACCTCGAATTAAGAAAACGATATAAAGATACAAACTTTACCGCAAGAAAAACCCAAACTCACACACACACACACAAAGCGCATGATGATGGGGGAACAGACGATGAACCTCAACAACCCGGGTGGCGTGGCCAAAACCATGGCCGGTGACATAGTAGGCGAAGACTAAAGGCCGGTTCAATGAGTCCTCTGCAACCATGTCTGCTAAGATGACGATCAAACAAAAGATAAAGAACAAAAAAAAAAAGGAAAAGAAGAAAAATTTTGCGTGTCCCCTTTGAAAATGCTAAGAAGAATTTCAAGAAAGTGGGAAATGGGAGGACTACTGTTGATCTGTGGATTAAGCTGAATTCGTAATCTATCAATCAAAGCAATTCAAAAGGTTACTTCACAGGTGGGGCGTTTTGACGTCAGTTTGAGTTGGGTCACTCTTCGGCTTTAAAAATGGGCTTTATCCAAAAGGTTTTGTTTCACAGTTGTAGGAGATTGATGGTGACATAAGCGTGCCTGATTCACTGATTCTGGGGTCGCGGATCGTGCCTGGCTTTTCTCTTTGCCGTTTGAAATGATGTGTTGCTACTTGCTACATGTTTTTTTTTTTTTTCTTTTAATATTATAAATCAAAACCTACAAAATATGCAAATTACACAGCCTTATCTGAATAGAATTGCCAACAATTGAAAAACCGATACGTACAGATATAAAGAATGCATAGAGTCACTCTAGCAACGCTAGAAATGAAACTCTCAACAACACAACATAAAAAAGGATAATGGTCCCCTACTCACAGTAAACACATATTAATATGTCCACCGGTTATAAGCATGCACATATTTGATATAGCATAAGAGAGCATTTTGATAGACCGATAAATATCGACTCGGTTTATGTATAATGGGCCGAGCATTTTGATAGTTACATTGGGACTGGCATAGATGAAAGTCACTAGGCTAGTATCAACGTTCTTGGTCACTCGAACATGAACCATTTGCTGACAAAAGAGAAGGATCTCTGTCTGGACATCATCATTCCAAAGAAGCCAGATGCCTCTAAGAAACCCCGAGCTTCAATGCCTAATGAATTTGCAAATTTACTATACCGTATAAAATTATCGGCATTCACTCCACTTATACGAGGCTCGAACAAAGCCATAATGTCAAGACGACAGTGTTGAGTTAGGATGGAAAATGCTCCCCGGAAGACAGGCGAGCCTGCACCCTGTACGTTCCATATAAGAATATTCATTTCCAAACAGAAGTGAAAAAAGGGGAGGCGATCTCCACTAGTCCAGATGTTGGATCTACATGTCCAAGCACTCGTCCATGCATGTACGCTCAGTTGGGCTGGCCTCCGAAACCCCCCTGCATGCGGGTCCTCCGGCCATGGGTCTTGGCGTCTAATATTTTGCTCCCCCTCCACCATTAGGTCGTCGTCGTCGGGTGTTGTAGTAACACTGTGTTGAGAGGTTCTTTCCTGTTGTCCCATGACTCTTTTCTCGATAATAATGGCTCGGTGTTTGCTCGGGTCCAGTCCTTCACACATCCGGGGTTGTACTAGATGGTTCGAATGAGAGGTTTGTGCGTTGGAGGCGTGTTTCTTAGTCATTTCTTCTTTCCCCAGCCCAAGCCCAAGCATAGGGGAGGACACCATATTATCTTTACCCAAGCTCATACTCGGTTCGTCTATGTCATCAAACCCATTGGGTGCAACCGCTCTCGTATTTCCTGCTCTGGTCTTCCCTTGGTTCTTCCTGTTACCCGATACCGATCGCCATTCTTTCTCGCCCTTGTCTCCACCGCTCGTATTTGGCATTGCTCTTTCTTCCCTTGGTTTGCTGGCAGAGGACGACCCGAATTCGAAGGCGTAGGTAGATTCTCTCGGACCTTCTCTGTTCAAAATATCAAACCGGGTCCCTAGGCCTGGAGAATTTGTTGGTTTGGTGGTTAAGTGCGACTTATCTATTCTGGTATTTCTTTTAGCGTAGGCCGGCCGTGGGCGTTGAGGGACTTGGATCCAAGGTCCATATAAGTTATCTCCTTCTCGCTGCGTCGCCTCCTTGGCACCCAAAGCTCCGTCTACATTCTTTTCTTGTCTCAGGCTTGCTCCGGGTTGAAGGCCCTTTTGACCGTGCTGTTTATCGGGCTGTGGGTTGTGAATGCAAGAATTCCCCGAGTGCCCAATCCTTTCATATTGGAAGCAAATGACAGGAAGGCTCTCATAGATTACTCGTTGAGTTCTCCCGTTAATAGTAAAGTTCACACAAAGTGGTTTCGTTAGGTCCACCATAACTACCAACCTCGTGTACTTGCCTCGGGTGAGGGCTGCAGTTTATTGGTCAATCTTAACAACCTTACCAACAACCCGACCATCGTTCGGAAGATTTTTGTGTGGTACAAATGAGTCGGCATACCGGGTAACCTGATCCAAGCAACCGTTGCCGTTAGTTCCTCCTTAGAAGCATCAAAGTCGAGAGCCCATGGTTGTACATGCATATAACTACTTCCAACCACATACGGACCGCCCGTTAGAAATTGGAATGTGTCGTCGTTGTTTTGGAAGTGTATCAAATAGAAGTCGTTCTCTAAATCCATCATGTTGCAGCCCTCCATAAACGGCCACATCTTAGTGAGTCGGTTGTAGAGCTATGCCATAGTGAGCGTATTGTCGAAGGGTTTTACCACCACCGCGTTCTGCCACTCTTTTTGAATTTGTTCAACAAAACTCTTAGCAATCGTGATCTCCGGTATTGGGCGGGATAAGTCCACAGACACATCTCTGTCTTCTTCGGTCCCCGTACCTTCTTCCTCCGGGTCCAAAGCCACATGGTGACATTGTTTGTTAACCATATCCTTAAAGGTCCATTTGCGTGGAGGATGTTCCGGCCCTGATGTTAGGTTCGAGTGACGAGTATCCTGGGTCTGTTGTTCCCAATCTTCTCCTGCTCTTTTGCGAGTTTTGGAGCGTTTAGTTACAGGCAGCACACTCCGGTCTAAGGTCGGAAACTCCGAGTCTAGATTGGGACGGCGCGCATCGTCACACGGATCGAAAGTCGCGGTGCCGCCGTCAAGGGCGGAGCCACCCTAAGGCTAGGGTGGGCTCCAGCCCCATCTAATTTTTTGCTAATGTTATTTTTGTTAACCTTATTTTTTAAAAAAATTATACATATACCCATTAGCCCCATGTAATTTTGTATGTAGCCTCATTTAATTGTAGGCTGAATGCCTCAAGAATATCTTCAGGTTAAAATTTTTTATCTGACAACTATGGTGAAAAAATGATGATTGTAGTGAGGAAAAAATCCAATCCTTTATTGTCAAATGACTATTATGACCTTATAGATTTTATCAATTGAGTTTATAATGTGACCCAACACATTCTTGTCTTTTAAATTTTTAATAGGTTGACTTGATAAATATCAAATGAGCTGGATAATTAAGTTTGACACAGACTTTTCCAACGGGCTATTTAATTGGGTTCGTCTCAGTCCAGTCCGTAATCTATTGCATTTATTTATTTATTTATTTTGTTGATTTCGCCTCCTATAATTAACTCGTCACCATTTTCTAGACAAAGAGAAATCTCGTACAGAGTTAACTGCAAACATGTTCGACTTTATTTGTTTGATCGACAAATTCGATTAGCTATTTGAGTTTGGCTTGTTTAAATATAAAAGCAATTCGAGATTGAGTTTTTCCAATTCAAACAGACATATGTTAAATAATATTTTATTTCTAATCATAAGAAAAACTGATTACAAGCCGAAACCGTTGATACCGAGCCGAGAGTTGGAGGACCATGAACAGGCGCGAATATATGTACGGGCCCGTTCATTGAAATGTCGGTTATTGGTCGGCCGGTTCATTAAAAAAATAAAAAATAATTAAAATATTTTTTTTACAAAAAGGCCGAATCTCGGATTCCGGTTCCAATTTGGAACCGAAACTACATGTTCAAAATGTATAAACTATAAGGTATTGTACATGAACTGAACTGGTCAAAAAACCATGGACCGGTTCAAGACCTATGGTCAATGGGCCAGTTTGTGTCGGTTCGGGCCGAACCGACAAGCTAGGTCGGCCCATGAATATGTCTAGAAG